ATTCATTCTGGACTCTTGCGATAACCATAATACCCTATCCCATATCACTTTTAAACTGTTCTCTTCCTCATCTGTTTCAATGCAGTATACATAATTTATCCAGTTTATTTCAGTCTTACCCCAACCCTGATATCAGTCCCATTCTACAACAGTGGCACTATGCAGTATTTGTCTTTTTGTGGCTGAGATATTTCACTCAGCATAATGTCCTCCAGGGTCACCCATTTTGAATAATATTGCATGAGCTCCTTGTTTTTCAATGCAGCATAGTATTCCATTGTGTGAATATACCACAGCTTCTCTATCTATTTGTTTATTGATGGGCACTTAGGTTGTTTCCAACTCCTTGCTATTGTGAACAAACCCACAATAAACATGGGTGTGCATATATTTGCTTGAATGGAGGTTATGGTCTCTTTGGGGTATATTCCCAGTAGTGGAATTGCTGGATCAAATGGTATCTCTTTTTGCAACTTATTGAGAAAGCGCCACACCACTTTACACAATGGTTGCACCATTTTACACTTCCACCAACAGTAAATATGGGTTCCAGTTTCTCCACAACCTCGCCAGCATTTGTTGCTGCTGTTCTGTTAAATTTTGCTATTCTTACTGGGGTGAGATGATATCTCATAGTTGTCTTGATTTGCATCTCTCTTAGAGCTAGAGATTTTAAACATTTCAAGTGCTTGTTGGCCATCTGAGTGTCTTCTTTGGTGAACACATTTTTTGACACGTAAATTAGCCAAGTAAAAGTATATCTTTTGGTTCTAGTATTCATCATAGGATCCCTTTAAGTTGCCATATATGGCATGTACTAGGTTGAATGAGGGAGTTCTAGCGACCTCAGAGAGAGGTGTGCTGCCAACCCAACAGTAGGTGGTTCAAATCTACCAATTGCTTCAACAGAGAAAGCTGAACAATCTCCTCTCCTGCCTCTGAAAACCTGGTGAAGGGTTTGGAGTTGGTTCCAACTCAACAGCAATGGGCTGAGTTGAGGTTGAAGCATAGTAATACGTCCAATTATTTTCCCCTGTGTTAAGTATGTTGCTTTCAAATTACCAGCTATGCCATATTTTAGAATGTTAGCATAAAATTAAGTGCAGCAGAATCTCTTCTCTCTTAATATGGCAGAGAATAGTATTGACTTCTCTGGCTTATTCTTTCTTGTTTTTTTGTATAGTTAACACCTAGAGTTCATTGGTGTTCCCTAGAATAAAGACTATCTTCCAGCTTCCTTTCAAATTAGGTGTGGCCACAGGACCACTTTCAGACAATGACATGTAAGCCTTGTTTTCTCCTGTCTGCTTCCTATAAAGCAGACTGTCCAGTGATGGGGAAGTCGTATCAGCTCTCTTACATGAGAAACACCATCAAAGGTAGTGAAGTAGAAAGCTATATGGGACCTGGATCTAAGGACGTTGCTGAATCACCAAGTTAACCTTAGAAGACCCAAACCATCTCCAAGAAAGAACTAACTACAATTAATTTAAGTGATTTTTATTTACTTGAGATCAAGCCTAATCTTAACTGAAATAGAAACAGACAAGGAATACACAATGAAAAGTACTGAGCTAAAAGTTTATTCTCTCAAGTGCTGACGAGATGTTTTTAAAAAGATATGGGGGGTGGGAAAGAAACAGTCTATGCAAATCTAAAGAAAAGAAATAGATCTTTGTGAAATGTTGACAATTAAATGAATTAAAATCTACCATTAAATTCTTTCCTTGAAAATTTACTCGGATTGAGTCAATGGCATTGAAACTTCCTGCTGCTATATTTTCTAGTACTCTTTGAAGTAGAATGAATATTTATTCAGCAGATATCTAGACATAGATGTTTTATTTTTGGTTAGTGGTCATTTATTATCTGAACAACACCATTTCTTTATGAAACTTAAAACTGGAATGTCTTACCTGTCCAGCAGCCTGAATGCTCAGGATAGCCACACGAGTATCAGGATCCTTCTGAAACTGATTAACCAGATGGATTCTTTCTGAAGAGGGAACACTTCCATCTATTCTGACATAGCGGGTCTGGAGTCCACAGGGAAACGGCAAAATTAGAAAAAGCCCCTATGCACACATCTCATTTAAATTCTATAGTTTAGCTCATTTTTGTCCACCCAAAAGGAAAAAATGGTTAAGATGACAAAATGAAATAAATAGAATCTTAGTTATGTTCCCCCATAGTTTCTTAGATTAAAAGACTGACAAGACTGTTAGGAAAGAAGGCAAACCCCCAAAAAATGCAATAAACCAAGTAGGTTTACTAAAGCGAATCTGGTATGTTTCATGTTCACTTACATGAAATCTTAATAATCATATTCCATAGAGAGTATGATACTTGGAAGTTTAAAATATATGACTGTATTTAGACACTATAATTGGTGGAATTAATTCTGCTTTCCCTCTGTATCAGTCACAGCCTAACTTAGTTTTATAAGTAGACAAAACTGCTAACTTTTAAGTGGCTAGACCACTCTCAAATGGTATTATTGTCTAGCAATAAAAATGGAATTAATATCAAGCACATTGATAGCTTATCAAGCACATTTTTAATCAATTTATGTAAATTGATCGATGGAACATTATAAGACTGGTAATAAAATTTAAAAATTGAACATTACATCATTATTGTATGTGACATAGTGACTTTACTGTTCAAAATGGCTTTCTTAACAAATGAGTTTGGCTTCGCCACATAAATAGGTGGGATCATGTAAATAGGGCATGCTAGTCTATCCACAAGGGAACTAACTAGCCTTGCCATTAAACTGAGCAGACTCAATAGCAGAATCTGAAGTATCTAGTAAGAAAGAGGAAGCAGCTCACATCCTTCAGGGCCAGAGATTTCTGAACCAGTCAGCCCAGGATATACCCAAGAGCAAAAGCAACCTCAGCAGATAATCAAAGGACAACATGAGACAGTACTGACTTAAGATTGCTGCCCTCTGGAGCCAAAGACAGTGGCTTTCACATAAACTTGCTGGAGAATGGAGGGAAGATGCCATAACTAAACTGGCAGAACTAAGGGAATTTTTAACACTGATCTAAGCTATGAGGCTGAAGGTCAAAGGGCCTGTGATTATGCTTTAGGAGGGGCCTGGAATGAGGGACTGTATCTTGCTGCCCTTACTCCATGGTTGCTAGCTAAAAGCCAACTCCCAGAGTGGAGGCTCTAGGCCCCTGGCCAGCCTGCAGACTCATCCTCTCACTAAGCGATTTTAAAGCCATTCCCTCTAGCAGATCTCCACAGTTGGTCAAAGGCTCAAGGGACACCTGCTTTTGGGGGGGAAAAGAGCAGTAGCACACATCAACCACAACCCAAAAAACTTCCCTTAGCTGACTGATGTGACCGCCATCAAGATGTTAGCTAACAGCCAACTCCCATAGTGGAGGCTCCAGGCCCTGGCCATGTAGGGAAAGTTTTTATTTATGAATTTTCAAATGAATTTTCTTCAAATGACAGCAATCATTTGTCTTTTTGCTGTACTGAACAATTTGGAGTTGCTGTGATGCAGAACACTGTTCCATAGTCTTGTCAAATACCATAATGGTTACCCATTATGTACAATGTTTGGACGAGCTTCCAGATTGATTTATGCTGGGAAGAAGGAGTGGCATCCACTTCCTAAACTAGATGCCTCTGGAAACTCTACAAACTCTCTAAACTATAAATATACAGAATGATGTTAATTATAAAACAAGGGTTCAGGTCTTTTACTCTGAGTAGTACTCAACTTGATGACACTTAACCTCTGCTAAATGAAACTAGTGCTGTTATACCTGAAGGAACACTCTTTCACTTTGTACATCATGTTGTCAATGTGCTGTATGAAGTAACCTAGGTTGCTGTGATTCTGAACCTTGTGCCACTGGGGTATCAAATACCATAATGGTTTCCCAATGTGGACCATGTTTGGTGTAACTACCAGTTGTAAAACAGGTTTGAAACAGGAGTGGCTTCCACTTCCTAAACCACACACCTCTGGAAACTCTATGAACTTGGAGAAATGATGATAGTTATGGGAAGGCATTAGGTCTTTTGTTCATAGAGTTGCTATGAGTTGTGCTCAACTTGATGGCAATTAACAACAACAACAACAACAACAACAATCCTGCTGCCAATCTGAATTATAGCCTGCTAACTTCCCTAACAAACCCCCACAACCGTGAGCATGGGTCTGTAAAGTAGATGCAGATTTCAGACACAGTAGAGCAGAAAGATCAGTGTTGGAATTACCGTAAATAGGGGCAGGAGCATAGGAGAGAACACCTGATCTTACAGGAATTAGTTTTGTCCTATGGATGCTGTTTATGGGGAAAGCCCCCATTTATAGAGTGAGCTGAAGTCAGACATGGTTGTCCTCACATTGCCCATAGCGATTACACTCATTTTACACTGTAAGAACTACACAGTATTGACATAATTTATTAAAAAGATTCAATAATAACTTATCTACTGTCATCTAATGAAGACAAAATAAACTCAACTATAAGACCACAACAGATGCTTAATATAGTAGCACTCTGAATTAAACATGCTTTTGTAGAAGAGAAGGGTTACATACCTTGTTTTCTATGACTGCTTCTGTGCAAGCCTGGAGCATACTTAAATGGTGGGCAAAAACTAGAAACTTAAGAGACTCATTCTGCAGCATCACTTTAATATAATCCTTTACAGCACCTGCCTAAATATTAAAAGACAAAATTTATTAATATCATTAAGATGCTTATAAAAATCATATAATTTTGTTTTAATTAGAAAGAAAAACTCCTAAAAAAATTCACTGAGTGTCTGAACATTTTTAACTGCCTTGTGCTCTAAGTAGTATGGAAGCTAACACTGGAAGGGTGTGTGGAAGAAGGGGATCAAGGGGGAAATCCCAGGCAAAACAAGACATTAGAGGTATGCCAAAACCAAAACCCCACCACTGTCATGATGGTTCCAACTCACAGCAGCTCTTCCCTGGGTTCCTGAGACCATGAATTATAGGAGGAGACTGTCCATCTTTCTCCCACAGAGTGAACAGTAGAGTCAAACTACTGATCTTTCTGTTATTTTGTGAGATTGTGGTTTCTACTTTTTAAACTATAATCATAAAAAGCTTTGTTAATAACAAACTACATACATTCTTAGGGTCATTTTAAAATGGGAAAAAACCCACCTCGCAAAAAACAAGCCAACATCCAATAAACAATAAAACACCCAATCCTATTTAAAATGCATGTACATGACTATGAATTCACCAGATTAATTCCATGTGCTCCATTCTATACATCTACACTTTCTAAATAATAGAAATCCATCTCCAGTGGGAGGGATGTTAAGAACTTTAGCCTTGGATTTCAGAGCTTCAGAAAGTGGAAATAAAGTCCTCTCAAAACAAGGAGCTATAAATTCTGGATACGTTGCCATGGCAACTGAACCATGTTAATAAAGTGCATGTTTGCCTAAAGAGCTATATTTACTGTCATAAGCCTTTCAAAGAGTACATGTCAAGTTGGAAGTATTTTTAAGGTACATTCATTTACAGTCACTGGACCCATATTCCCAGAAACATTCCTTCACCTCTCCATAAGTGAGCTGTTCCTGCCAGAGTCCCCTTTCCTGATATTACCTTCCATCACAAAGTTACTGGTGCCAAAGCTCAAAGTACTCTCTACCCTAGCCCTTCCAATAACTAAATCAGAAAGGCTTATAGTCCCTATTAATATTATACAGTTCAGTTATATAACTAGCTAAACAGGCCATAGGGATTAACCTAGAAACTTAGCCATTGTTTGTAATATTGCTTCCAGAAGAACATATATTAACAACAAGCCCCTCTCAAGTTGGGAGCTGCATAGGTTTGCATTTTAAAGTGTACTGACATGCATTTTTTACAATCTTGATTTTATTGTAATTAAAACTGTCACACTGTGGCCATATTTTAAAAGCCATATGAGCAAGAATATGCTTGCAAACTATCTTAAGTGCATATTACATGGAATGGCAGGTCTTGATGATGCTCAGCATTTTGGTTACGCTGGTTTTGGTTTTAGACAAGTTACAGAAAATGCATGTGTTCACAACTCTATTCTACTGAAAACTGGTCTGTCAGGAATACATCTGTTCATCAAAAGGCTTCATCTAAATAAATAATAAAGGCTGCACATTCCATCTCATTTCTAAAAAATACAGAAATGAATATATTATAATATTATAATTTTCTGGGCTCTTTTTTCCCCACCAATGAAGGATGATGAAGCTTCATCTTTCATACTTCCGACATGTAGCTAGGTGAGGCTGTTCCTTAGAAAGGGATATCATGCTTGGAAATATGGAGGATCAGAGAAGGAGACAAAACCCCTCAATGAGATAGACTGACACTGTGAATTCAGTAATGGGTTCTAGTGACTCAGACATGGACAAGATTGTACAAGATAAAGTAAGTTTCAGACCTAAAAACAACAATATAGAAGGAAATAGAAGCATTGCAGGTGAACACTAAGATTAAGGGTGTCAGTGTATAATCACAAAAGGCAAACAACATAGATCATATAGCATCAAGAAGTATAAATTTTACTAGCATGAGCTTGGTAAGAACTTCCAGACTGATGGAGATATTCCTCAGCTTAAAAAGCATTTGCTACATTGTCACCTCATGCTTTTACTCTCAAAAAACCCCCCAAAACAACAAACTTGCTGTCCTCCAGTCAGAACTGATTCATATCTGACCCTTGCAGTGGGTTTTTTGAGGCTATAAATTGCATGGAAGAAGACTGCCTACATTTCTCCTATGGAGAAGCTGACATTTGAACCACTTGCTTTAGGGCGGGCCACCAGAGGGAGGGAGGAAATTGTGCAACAATGAAAGAATCTTTTCAAAGGGAAAAGTAAACTGGTGGGTGAGGGAGGGGATAGGGAAGGAAATGTGCAATAGTGAATGAATGAAATCCAAGTTTTCTGTAAACTTTTGTTAAAATATCAATACAAAAATAATAAGCGACAATCAGAAACAAAAAAGACAAAAAACAACAACAAAAACAAACAAACAAACAAAACACCAAAACACACCCATAAACCCAAACATGTCTGCAAAGGAGGAGCATTTCAGTCCATTCCAATGCCATAAACTGAACCTGCAGGAGTGAGCTCCATTCAGTGCCTGCTCACTTGTTCTTTACAGATTATACTATCATCACCCATCTGTAGCAAGGAGGAGGCAAACACTTTGCTTTGTGTCTTCAGGATGTCTAGAACTTTCAAGTGACTCCTCGCTTATTCACATTAATTTATTTAACTCACTTTACACTATTCCTTGTTAAAGAATTAATTTCTTTTGGAATACCTTATATATCGATTATCTTTTAAAATTACCTTAAAATGGGAAAGAGAAGGAACAAAGTAATGGGAAATATTCATTGCTTATTCACTTCCTACCCTCATCCCTGTTGCCCTCCACTGAAGGTTAAAAAGAAATAAATAAAAAACGTTCTACAACAACAACAACATCAGAGAGAGAGAGAGCTCTGTTGACCTAGTGGATATAAAGTTATGCTACCAAGTCAAAGGTGGCTTTTAATCTGTGGCTCTCAAGCCTGGTTTTAACTGTTTTTGGTGAAGCATTCTTCTAAGTGGTATAGCACTGGTCTGTCCATTTGCTGTACAGAGGTAACTTGTGGTTGTTGAGATAATGGTTACCCATGGTGGAGCTCCCCGATTAAAACAAGCTTGGAAGCAGGAGTGACATCCACTTCCAAAATAGCTTGCCTCTGGAAACCCTATGAATTTGGAGAAACGTTCAAAAGGTTGCTATCATTCAACAACATTTAACAACGACGACGACAACAAAGCCCACGGTTCTTAAGTGAGATAATTTATTTCCTCGTATGAAAACATATTTTAAACCTGGTAGAAGGTAGCCCTGGGGAAAGACTGGATGCTTCCAGTTATAATGTAAAGTCAGTGTTTTGGGCATCTTCACTAAGCCTCAAGCTAAACATTTCAAACAGCAAACAAAAGTTCACTTCCAAAGATGGGTTCTGATAGATGACTGAAGTGTTCTCTCGGGGTTTATTTTATTCCCGTAAGAATATATCCGCAGTCTCATTATAAATATTAAGATAGGATCAGGAGAGCGATGCAGCACCAGTGAGAGCGACGCAGCGCGAGAACGCCGCCAGACGGGGTTCCACGGCGAGAGGGGCCAGGAAGAGACCCGGGAAGAACAACAGCCAGCCCCCTACCGCGGAACTCCAGAGGAGTGAAGACGCACAGCCCTGTGACCTCAGGGCACCACCTTGGATCCAGCCATCACCCGGAGCTATCAGGCGAGCTGTTGAGGAACTAACCTGGCAGGAGATAGGCCGGTAGGATCTTATCTGTGTTTACTGGGGCATTGCTGATTACCAGGGAGAGCACCTAAGGGCAGTGCCCACAGGTGGGGAATTTGGCGGAGCTCTCTTGGGCTACAGCAACTGCCCAAAACAAGCAAGCCAGCTGGCTTCTGTGAACTCTGCAGACCAGCTAGAGGCTAGTGGGTAGGTGGGAATTTGACCTTGACTTTTCGGAATCCCTCGGATACAAGACCCTGCTGGAGCAGGGGCTATTGTGTGAGGGCACCTGCGTAAGTGCCACCAGGCAGGGAACACTGAGAAAACCATTGGGTAGGAAGCAGACAGCAGGAATTTGAGTTAGGACTCCTGTCGTGAACACACTGAGACAGCAGAGGTTTGAGCAAGGTCTTCCAAGTGATTGACCTGCCCTTGCAATCACCCAACACTTTCCTTGCCTCACGGCATTCGGCTCCATAACAGTGCCTACACGTCTGGGCAATCAACGTGCCTTTAAACGGGAGCACCTTGACCTGTTTTAGCAACAAGAGATTTCCCTAGCAGGCATTGAACTAACATTTTTCTGAAGTCATAAAGTCAGAGAAACTTACAAGTTCGGTAACTGCCCATCAGACCTGAAGAGCATCGTCTTCAGATCAAGAATAGATACCAATGTCTCGAAGAAAGCAAACTATCCCACACAATATACAAGAGCAAAGCAAGATGTCACTCGCAAAGGGCGATGCAAGAGCAGCAGATACCCTGAAACTAGAAAGTCTCATGGAACTTTCTGACACAGAATTCAAAAGAGGAGCAACTAATTATATCCAATGGATGAAAGACAAACTTGATGAATTACAGGATGCTACAAGCAAAGACGAGGAGGAGTTAAAAAAAAAATGCAAAACATTGCAGAGAAAACAAATAAGGCATTAGCGGCACTGGAAAAACAAGGATCCACCATTCAAAATATAAGATCCGATGTTTCAGAGGCTATCAACATGATGGAGGGACATATGAGCAGAGTTGATGAGATGGAACACAGAATCAGTGAAATTGAAGACAAAATTGTCACCACTGATCTGCTAGAGCAAAAAGAAGACTCAAAAAGGAAGGAAAAAGAAGAAAACCTAAGAATAATGTGGGACAACATCAAGAAAAATAACATGCGCATCATTAGAATCCCAGAAAAGGAAGAAGCAAGTAAAAGCATTGAAAAAGTTGTGGAAGAATTACTAGAGGAAAACTTCCCAGACATAATGAAGAATGAGAGAATATATATTCAGGAAGCTCAGCGAACACCATATAGAT